ACCCTTAAAAAACCCAACAAGACTCCCATTTAACACAACTGAATAGCTAGGATTAGTGAAGCAAGCACATATCCATCCAATGAATTTACCAGGCAACCCCATAGCATGGAGGATAACTATAACAAACTCTCAATTCAAAGAATCAAATACTTTCTGTAAATCATTTTTCAGGGCACACCTAGGGGAGTTATTTTTCCTAGCATAGCCTCTAACTATCTCTTGAGCAAGCAAAGTGTTGTCAACCATGCTTCTCCCCTTAACAAAAGCAGTCTGATTATTAGTGATCATGCCAGGAAAGACAGAAGACAGCTGATTAACTAGAATTTTTATAATTATCTTATAGATCACAGAACAGTACGATATGGGCCTAAAATCCTTGACAATGTTCGGGTTAGGCACCTTAGGCACTAGGGTAATAGTTGTTGCATTAAGTGCTGGAAGAATAAAAGAAGTATCAAAGCAATACCTGATGGCAGCCTTGAAGTCCTCTCTAATAATTGGTCATGCCTTCTTAAAGAAATAAGTATTGTATCCATCAGGACCTGGGGACTTGTTATTACCTTGTTCCCAAATAGCATCCTTAATTTCTTTGTCAGAGACTATAATGCATAAGGTTTCAGTAGCCCCCATAGGTAAGGAGTAACCAAGCAATTCTCTGATGATATCAATGTTGCAACCCTTAATATTTTGGTCAATCCTCCCCAATTGATTTTTAAAAAAGTTGACTACCTCATTTGATATATCCTCGAAAGTGTCTAATCTGCCCCCGTGCTGATCAAAGAGCACACTAATGGTATTGCTCTTCCTCTTGCTGATGATCATGGAGTGGAAGAACCGAGTCCCTTGATCCCCTTGTTGAATCCAATCAATTTTGGCATTTTGCTTATAGAAAAGCAATTCAGCTTCCTCAAGGGCTCTCAACTCCTTTTCAACCTCCGCTTCAACATTAACTTTATTACCAACAGTACGGGAGTCAAGGTTAGCCAGTTGGATTTTTATCAGTTCCTCCTGTTTTTGCTTAACCCTGCCCAAGATATCATTGAAATAAGACTTGTTAACCTCTTTAAGGCAGCACTTCAGTCTTTTAAGCTTCAGGAATAAAACCTGGGTTGGGTTGCCACTGACAGGGGATCGCCAAGACTTTTCAACAATTGACAAGAACTGAGGATGCAAGGCCCAAAAATTTAAAAAATTGAAGGGCTTCGGTCTTGCAGTTGGGGCAGGCTTATGGATCCAAACAAGGCCAGGACAGTGGTCAGAATCTCATGGGGCCAAAAACTCAACCACCGAGTCAGTAAATGATCCCAACCAGGCATGGTTAATGAGGACACGGTCCAATTTGCGAGCTAGAAAACTACCCTGTTGCTTGTTAGACCAAGTGAACAAGGGGCCAGTAGAGGGATGATCAGAGATACCCAACTGCTCAACACAATTTTGAAAGTCAGAAATATCAGCCAACAAACTTCCACTAACAGGAATTGAGCTCTTCTCTGAATTGAGGATGACATTAAAGTCACCCCCAGTAACCAAGGATCAGAACCTACAATATTCTCCATAGAAAGAAGTTGATTCCAAAGTTGTCTGCGGTGAACTCCATCATTCGAGCCATATATAGTAGAAATGTAGAAAGCTTTACCACCATAATCTGTTTTAACAAAAACACACTGATCAAAGACCGAACAAACTACACAATTCAAACTTTTATGCCAAAGAACCCATATATGTCCATTAACAACATGGTTATAGTTACAACACGAATTCTAGTCTCCAAAGCTTTGATTCGAAATAGTCACAACTTTATTTTCTTTCACCCTTGTCTCAAAGAGGCACAAAATACTAATCTAACAACCAATCGCCCAACGTAAAACTTTCTTCTCCTTAAGGGGGTTATTAAAGCCCCTTACGTTCCAGAAGCATATCAACATGGCATAGGGGCAGAGGAAGAAGCACCACCACTTACTTCCATTTTTTTGGCCTTTTCAACAAGCTCATTTTTCTTCATTTTTAAATCTTGTATGACTTTCTCAACACCAAGAGAAACAACTCTCTGCTCCCTACCTGAATCCACAGAAGGCAAACTTTCGGGGTCGATAGAATTAAGTACTTCAAACTTATTCTTTGACCCTCCCCCAAGCAGCTTTACCCCTTTCCTTAGCATGTCTGCCCCTACCTCTATTCATTTGAGGGTTGCTACCTTGGCCAGGTACATCAGCAGTAGCTGCCTGAGTGAGTTGTGGGATCTCTGAAACCTTCTCCTTACCAACACCAACTTTATCAAGCCCACTATCAGGCTCATCTTGTCCAGTTGTACAAAGAGAATTAGCAACATTATCAGCTACAATGTCATTATCAATACCATTCACATTCAAGACCATCACAGTACCAGAGATAGAATCAACAGATTTTGCCACTGGGACACCTGTTTAACCTTACCTCCTTTAGGACAAAATTTAGCCGAATAACCAAATCGGCCACAGTCACCACAAGATAGAGGCATCCAGGGAACTTTAACTCTAATCCTGGCTATTGATTCATCACAGAGCATCACATCAACAAAGTCAGGAATTCTAGAGCCAACTGAAACCTCAATACAAACACGAGTGTATTTTAGTCTTTCTCTAGAAGCTGTAATCGAGTCCATAAGTAAGGGTTTACCAATTGCATTAGCAATATAGCTCAGCCCCTTCTTTGAATAGAGCTCTAAAGGAATGTTAAACAATTATATCCAAATTGGCATACGAATCAAATCAAACTGAAGCTCTTTCAAATCCGGCTCCCACTTCCTAAGAAATAATGGTTTATGTTGAACGTGACAAAGACCATTTTCTAAAATCCAATCCCTAGCTGATGAATTAACGAATGAAAAAATGAACAAATTATGACCAGCTAAACTGACCTTAACCAGAGCAACTTTACTCCACATCAATTCAACAGTCTTTTGTAAATAACCAAAGTTAGGGTGATTGCACCAACAAACTGCCCAACCAAAGCATACCTCCACTCCATAATCCCTTATTCGAACACGTATCGCGGAGGTTTCACAACAAATGAGCCTTCAACCTCAGCCGGGGGGAAGAAATCAAGCTCTTGCTCATTCCCGGCAGCAAAGAGCTTCCTCCAGTCAGTAGATGATTCCTCAAACATTGCCAAGAAGAATCCCCAAGAGTATGACCAACAAGAACAAAAGAATCGAAGGATCGAAGAGAAAAATGGCTTTGTTTTCAATCGCTGTTAGCCCAGCTAACATGCACGAGAGAGAAAACTTTAACGTGCGCCTTTTATATTATATTTTTTATTCTAAACTAATCTTACAACTTTTAATATTTTAATTTTAAGTTATATTTTTTTATCTTAAATTAATTTTAAATTTTTTATCATTTAAATTTTATTAAATTATCAGCATATACTAACAGTATCGCATATTAATAAAACCATTAAATCAAATAATAATATAATATGTTTACTTTTTTATTGCAATCAATATTTTATTTATTGATCAATTAATTTGTATCATATACTATAGAGATTTGATACATAAGTGATCTTCTTAATCTTGTTTCATTTGTAAATATTAAAATTCAAACACCTAACTTACAAGATTGAGTAAATTATCATATTAAACTAATTGATGAAAATTAATTATATATTTAAATGAATTTAAAGATAAAATTTAAAAATCAATTTAAAATTTAACGACTTTGAGGGATGGTTTTTGGCTCTTGAAGTTAGAAACTGGTCCCGTGTAATAATTGTGGAATGTTCTTGTATCCAAGTTGGGTGCTTTGGATGAAATGGTTCTTTGGATGAAATGGTTCTTTGGATTAGTGTGTGCTTTTATTTCCTACTACGGAGCTTTGTATCGGCAATTATATAATACATTCTTTTTCCTATAAATTATTTTTCCTCTGTTTAGGTCTACGTTCTTGCTTTGTTTTGTATGTTGAAATAAAATCATACATGACACCTTTCAAAAAAAATATAAAATTAGAATATTTAATAATTTAAATAAAAATTACAATTTGAAAACATATAATATATTTATCTTTAATTTTTAAATCTCAAGACATAATATTTCACATAAGCTGATTATATCTTGAAAATTTTTAGAAAATACTATTTTAGAATTGATAATTGACTAATGATGATATCAATTCAATCGATTGTTTCAAAACTAGCCCGAATCAGCATAACTGGCTGAACAACACCCGAATCGATGATCATTTTAGTAGAGCAAAATCGATTTAAATTTGAAGATTTCACAGCCATAATTTCACATAAAAAAACATCTCATTTACCATTAATTTTGTTCTCGAAATAAAATAAAAACAATTAAACTAGATTTAAGTAAAACATTTATACTACAATTAATTAGTTGTGTTAATTATTTAAATCAAAACTCATACTATTAAACCTTGAAAGCAATTGCGTCTAATCTATACTATAATTATTGTTAAATTTATGAGTTTGTAATCATGGTGTTAACTGATACCAATTCAGTAAGGTAAATCACTAAAAAATTTACAAAAACAATTAGTAATTTCATACAAATCAAAAGGAAAAGACATCCAAAATTGGTAAACTACAACCTAATTCTTCAATGAAAATTTGCTTTGTTTTCAATCATTCCAAGCAAAGAAAGTGCAAATTGCAAAAACCATAACTTTCTCACAGCATTCCAATAGAAAAACTGAAGAACAAACCAAAAAAATTCAAAATGAAGGAAGAAAGTTTCTCTAATAAGCCTATATTACCAATGTTTTATTATTAAACTTCACCGTATCAAAGTGATTATTGGCGGTACACAGAAATGAAAACCCACTAAGTTTCTAAACCTATGAAGAACATAATAGATTCATAGTATCATACCGTAAGCATTGAAGAAAGAGAACAATACGAAACCCAATTCCATCCTTCCAATCGGCAGACGATTACCTCAAAGGAGAGAAAAGGAATGCACAAAATAAAGTACTGGTACTCTGGTACAGTGATTCTTTTACTCATTCCTTGGCTTGCACTCAACATTCTTCCTCTTGAGATAAAAATACAATGGGAGAATATGATGTCCAATAGCAAGATCCGGATTCTGCAATGGAAGTTATGCTAAATCCAGCTTTTTAATGACCGATGCAACAATCACGGCGATGCCTTAGCGGTTCTTCCCAAAAAAACAGGGACCGGAAGCGAGCTAGGCGGCGGCGAAACAAAAGAAGCGGAACCGGCATGCGAACCACCGATCTTGAATTCCTTTAGCTTAACTTGCTTTTGCATAGTTTCCGGATCCGGACCCAACCGATTCGTCGACCCCAATGCCAAATCAAATTCCTCTTCGATCTTTCCGAGATCGGTCTTCTTCTCCGCAGCGGTGATCAAGGTTTCCCCGCGTTTCAATATCTTGACCTGGCCCATCACTAGATTCTTCCCGGGAGATTTGGCCACCATGGATTCGGCTTGTCTTCTGTTATTCGACTGAAACCCTAGGGGGGGACTCCCCTTTCTGTTGTTCGATTTAATCAACCTAGGGTTGGGATTTCGACGGTATCTAAAAGGATAGTCTAAGTTGAGGGTTTCACGGCGGAACCGATGGCGGAGACAGCCTTCGGTGCTGAGAACGGCGGTGGTCATTATATTTCACGAAGGAAATCAAGAAATCAAAATGGCAAAGATGAAAGCATTCCCAGTAAACTGTTTTCTGGGAAATCAGAAATACGCAGGGGAGTATTTATAGGGAATTTCCTTGGAAACATGTAAGTCCCACGTGAGTTCCTTACACCGCCTTTAGGGTAATGACTGGGTCACGTGCACAGGAGACACTCTGCATACGTGGAGCGGATTCAGTTGTTATATTTTATATGTCTAAATATGTCAAAAGAAGAAATACTGTTTAAACTTTTATATTTTAGTCCTTATATTTTGTTTAATTTAAGTTAACAATTCACGGTAATATTTCAAAGAGAAAAGATTAATAATAAAATTTAGGAGAATTTTAAAAATATTAAAATAGAATAAATTTTAAATCATTAAACCGGAATAACAATTTTATCTGATTCTTTAAAAAATATTTTAACATTTCCAAATGATTTGTTTCAAAATTTATATCAAAATGTCTAAAATATTTTTACCTAATATCTTTAATAATTTAACCTAACAATATTTTTAAAAATCATATAAATATTGATGTAATCCGATTTTATCCAAACATTAAATCATGATGTATATATTTCTATTCTTTCAGATAAAGATATCACACTAAAATTAAGATACATCAATGGAGGTGTAAACTTATTCAATCGGTTCTCTTTAGTATTCAAGTATATTGGCGTAGGCAATTAGTGCTACGGAGTGCTATCGTGGATAGGATTTGATCAAAGTACATGAGAATTTTATCTTCTAAGAATGAGGAGAGTTTAAATTTTAAAGATATTTATAGTTGGAATAAGAAGTGTATTTTCTTGATTAGAAGATTTCTTTTTTTTTCGAAGATCAATATGGATAAGCTCCTAACGAGAAACCGTTTCATTTTTAATCATTGATAATGCACACACATACTGCAGATGTAATTGTTCGAATCAAAAAATATAAAGGAAGATCAATATCACCACTTAATAAATTCATAAATTAAATAATAATCTTTTAATTTCATCAAATAAAAATAATATGTTTGATTATAACTGAATTAACCATTTTGAACACCATAAATATCCAAATAAAAAGCCAAGTGGATTTAAATGTGGATCTCCAAGAGTCGGTATCCACATTTGCTCTGGATCTGCTGCAGATAATAATTAGAATATTCAAACCTTCAATATTGAAATCTACATTAAACAAGTTAATAGCTTCAAATATCTGAATCTGCATTATCCATTATCATCCCTAGTTGAGCGAGTTCGAACAATTCAATTTTATCTCGAACCGAGTTCAAGCTTTTAAAACAACACTTATTAACAGGCATATATAAAATGATTGTCCAGCAATCATCTGTTCCAATATTTCAAAAGAATCCATAGGACTCTTTCAAGTCTTGGAAAGTTCTTGGCTACGCTTGGCAGCAGCCACAACTGCATTCATCAATGTTCCACGGAAGCCGTTCTTCTCTAGCTCGTGAATGCCGGCGATCGTAGTGCCACCGGGCGATGTAACATCGTCTTTCAGCTGACCAGGGTGCTTCCCAGACTGAACAGCCATGGAAGCTGCTCCCAAAACCTGCAAAAGAAACGAACCTAGTGGCTGGTTATCATCTACATGCAAATAGGGCCATAGAGGAGTTATTGCTAGCATGGGAGCAGCCTCTACTTTTCACCCATTTTCTTCGTCGTAAAGTGATTTACAACTACCATGTGACAAAGCATTTCCGTCGTCGTATCAATCAAAAACGGGTTTCGGGTAAGCACACATGATGAAAGATACATGATGCATGAAGTAGAAGTTACTTACAGTCTGAGAAGCCAGTCCCAATGCTAGTTCTCGTGGAAGACCGGCAGCCACTCCGCCATCAGCCAAAGCTTCGATCGCTAAATATATATATGCTGGACCACTGCCACTGGATATTTTCAGGAAACATATATCTTGTTAACCTAACTTTGGTGGATAATCGAAGATAAACGATGGGGCGAAGAAAAAGGAAACGATTTGCATTCAGATAGTAGCATGCAGGGACTATTTAAGCATATTAATGATACCTAAGGCCAGTGACAGCATCAAACAATTTCTCATCAGCTTTCCATATCTTGCCAACTGATCCAAATAATTTACCAACTAATTCCCCATCCTGTTCTGTAGCAGATTCTCCCAAGCTCATAACTGTGCATTATGGAAAAAGATTAGATATTTGTATGGCCGTTCATCAGTCTGTAAGACGATATACGATAAAAGATTGCAAAATGAACTTGTGGGACTAGGAAGAATCATATTTTACAAAAACATGCGATCAAAAAGATGATGATTTGCTCATATGCAGTTAATGGGGAAAAGGTTATACCTGATGCTGCCATACCAACAGCAGATGGTGTGTTAGGCATCACCCGGATAAATCGGCCATGGCCAGCCCATTCCTGAACAAAATAAAGTAATTGTTTTATTGAAATAAAGACAAATATATGACACCACAATTGCACATGAAGGAAATGAGTCTCAAGGAGTACAAAGTGTAAAAATTAAGAGAAAATGATGACGGGAAAAGTGTTGCCGATCATAGCGATTAATTCTATTACAAAGTTGTCTAGTATGGTCATTTGGTTAAACCTTCGATAGAAATAAGGACAAGGAGAAAAAGGAATTTCTATAGTTACTTAAGACAGTTCTTTCAATGTCAAGCAAGGAGCAACGACTATTTTGCATCGGTTTTGCTCCTAGAAAAGAAAGACAAAATCGGTTTAAAAGAACTCGCTCGTGCTCCATCTGAAAACATGAATCTCGAACTGAAAATTTGGAACTTGCTTATATACAAATAGTAAGAATGAATGTGCACATCACATAGAAATTACAAAAAGATTAAAACTACCCATGTATTTGAGAAAGATCAAGGGGTGGAAAATTTTCATTTTGTCATCAAGTATTTCTGATTCACTGGATGGGGAATTAGTTGGTAATTTATCTTTTCTTTTGTCCACCAACACCAATAAAACTGAAACACCGATGTCAAAGTTTCATAAACTCATGAAAAAGAAATGAAAGGAAATTCTTTTAAATCACAATATGATATGCTTCTGTGAATAACATGGTAATGCATAATTTATACAAGCACCATGGCTTTTATGCTTTTGTAAAGGTAAAAAGCTTAAAAGGACATACCTCCAGATCCTTCAGTTTTATTCCAGCGGCAATGGAAACCAAAAGCTTTTTCTTTGAAAGTAACGGCCTCAGCTGCAAGACCACATTTTTAACTGCAAGCCACCAAGGAAATGTTTTAGACTAAAAACAGAAGTCCGAAAATGCACCCGAAGATGTTCTGCATTCATACTTTTTTGTTTTCTGATTCTCTTGTATGATATCTCTCTGTATTCAAGTACAATATCATGACTGAATCGGCAAAATGCAAACTTTCAAAACTCTATGTGTGATGTCTTTACAAGAAGTGATCCATGTGTAAATGTGCTTGAGATAAAAGCAAAATTGACAGGGCCATGCTTTACTACATTCGTTAAACTACCATACTATATTGACTCTTTTTCTATAATAAGGTAAATATCAGAGACGTTGAAGCCTCATTCACTTTTCTCTCCTACTAGACACAACTAACATATAATAGGGTTAACTACATGTTTAGTACCCCAACTATCACTTTTATTCCGTTTGGTCACCCAACTATTTTTTTCCAAAATCATACCTAACGTTTAGTTTTGGTCACCCGCCATTAAAAAAATAATGGTGATGCTGATGTGTCACCATGAGGTAATGCCTCATCATCATTAAAAAATGAAAAATTGTCATGTCAGCAATTTTGTTAATTTTTTAACGGTGGGTAACCAAACTGAAACCAAAACGTATGATTTTTAAAAAACAAATAGTTGGGTGACCAAAACGGAACAAAAATGATAGTTGGGGTACTAAACGTACAGTTTACCCTAAATAATAAGGTGAGAAGAAAGAAAATAGGAAAATATTTTCCACTCCTGTCCTGCTGACAAAAACAAATACTCCAAACTGGAAAGAAAAATGGGAAAGAGAGTCGAGCAATACATATTTGGGTTATACATCTTAACTTACAAAAGATATAACGTAAAATCACTTTATTTTTATCCTCTTTGCTTTCCTTTTCAACCATACACATTTATGGAAAACATAATATGTTTTCTATCTTTATCAAGATGTTTGAGAAAATGAGTACCTACTACAAGAATGGAATTGCCAGCTCTAGAACTTAAAAAACAAAAAGGGAAGCGCGCAGAGGAACCAAAGAGGAAACACTCAAGCTAATAGCATTACCTACTTGGGGCTTCACGGAGAAAATGATCACATCACTAGCATCCACAACCTGTTTTCATGTATATTCATGAGTTGGATCAGAAACAAAATAAAAATAAAAACACCTACATTATAAAAACTTAAGAGCATATAAATCTGAAAAGTTGATTAACTCCCCCCCCCCCAAAATTCTACATAAACAAATATCAACAAAACACATTTTTTGTTGTTAGCTATCTGCTTTCTATTGTGCTCTTCATAACACGTCCTTCCGAAAGTCTCATTCCAGAACAATCCAATCGCTCCAGAATGGAGGTCCAGTGGACACATTCCGGACGAACAGCCGACAGGTTCAATCATCCCGCTGCCACACAGTACATGGACTATTTGGATAGGCTTATGATGACCCTAACATCCATAATCATTAGGCGTCAAGCTACACCCACCCGAACCCATGCATAGATCATGTAAGACTACTCTCTCTCCTGAGAAGGGAACCGGTAATCTTGGTCGGCTCTTCTCCCTTTCTCATTGCAGCCTTGCAAATGAGTAGTCACCCTTGAACTCTTCCATCTCCTTCCTCAAAGCCACCACCCAAGATTTGAGAGTATTACTCCTTTCGACCATCATCTCACCCAACTCTTTGACAATACCGTGTATCACTTCATGGACTCCAACTTGCGAAGATGTGACTGCACAATATCATGGGTCTCCTTGGCCTCTTTCTCAGATTCCACAAGCCTAGTGACCCTATTCCCCAAAGATGATATGTCGTCCCTCGAACTTGCCCTCTTTTGTTTCCCACCGGGTCTCTAGTCCCTCTTGTGCAAAAACATCATCTCTTTGTCGTGCAGCATGAACTAGCTCGGTCACCATAACAACTAGCTTGGTCACCATAACAACTAGCTTGAAAGCCAACACTCACCAAGCTCAATTGCCTACTGCAATTTGGCTCGGATACCAATTGCAACTCGCTCTCCCCTTATTCCTCTTTCTCTCCTCCTGGGAGGAGGGAATCCAATCCCTGGGCTTTACTCACAGCTACTGTCATTACCTAGCTGTCACGGCTCTCCGCCCAAAGAAGTGGTGAACCGCCCTCAGACAACACCAAAGGTTCAAACGTCCACTCCCCTAGCTATACACCGACACTTTCCACTTTGTAGAGAGTTAAAATATGTGCATACAAATGGTGAAAAGCAAAACCAGATTAAGCCAAATTAATCCCCAGAAAAACTCCCTAAAGTATAAACTTAAATTTATATAAACATAGTTACCAAACAACCAAAATAGAAAAGAAACTACTAATTTCTTTGGTACCCGAGAGTGAAACAATATCTTATTTTCAATCATTCAACATAGTAAAATCAATAATGAACCCATTTTTTTTTTCTTTTTCCAATAACCAAAATGGGAAATAGTAAATGTAACGAGAGGAATGAAGGGGATAAAGAAGAATACGTCGTTGTTGTGACCATAAACAGGGATGCCGAGTGATTTGAAGCCAATACCACGATCGGGATTTGAGTGGATTGCTGTGGAAATACGCTGGGGAGGCAAAAGACCAGATTGCACCACTCCTCTGGCAATGCTCTCAGCCATTTTGCCGGCTCCGATGAAGCCAAGCTTGAAGCTTTCGGTGTCTATAGGCACTGCCTCCATGTCTAAGGCGGCGTCGCTGCTTGGGTTTTATGTCTTGCTAGTAGTTGGAGAAGCAATCGTACTGGCTTTCCTAAAAAGCAGCGGACAGGGTAAATCTTTGAAATTTGAGAGGGTATCAAGCGTCAAACACTTGGCTAAAATTTTCAGTTTTCATCTTTTGGTTTTTGTATCGATAATATAATGGAAGAGTGACAACTGGGGAATAATAAAATTGATAAAATAATTGACAGGATATATTAAACCAAATCAAATTGATTCGTGTCGACCAGCGGTAAGGATTTTCACCAGGGTTGCTTATCGAGTCCAAAGTCCATGTACAGAACTAAAAATTTATTAGAGAGGAGTTAAAGTATTTTTTTATAAATGTAAATTGTTTTTAATACATATTTTTTAATATTAATTGTTAATTATAAAAATAATTGGTGGGGGTAAGACTTCCCTTGGCTCCCACGATGTTCCGCCCTTGAATAAAAGCATAATTTTGATTCTAGACAGAAATTTAAATTGTAAAAGTTAAAAAATTTAACTTTTACTATTGGTTTAAAACTACAATTCTAAACACACTTATACCTTTAAATTTTACTCATTTGGTATTGATTTTAATTTCAAATTTTTAATTGATTTAAAATTAATGTTAATTTAATTATTATAATCCAAATTCAAAGATCTTAATGATTAAAGATTTTTTATTTATTTCAAATTCGAGTACCATGTATGTATAGAAATAAAGATTTAATATTAAATAGTTGAAAGATTTTAAATAAATATTATTTTATATTCAACTAGACGAATTATAAAATATTAAATTTCTTTTCATTTATTATATAATTTATGTAACCCCTAGACCCGGTCTGTGAGTTAGACTCAAACTTAAGTGGTCACATATCCCATTCAGAGGTTTTTTTTTTTAATATCTTACAATACATTATATTAATAATACAGATATGTCCAAAATTATAGCAAATACATGTCACCAAACATAACTGAAAAACATATAGAAATATATGTTCGTACAAAATAAGTAGTTGATTTCCACTGATACCTTAAAATAGTTGAAAATTTTTAAATAAATATTATTTTATATTCAACTAGACGAATTATAAAATATTGAATTCCTTTTCATTTATTATATAATTTAATTTATTAATATTATTATTAGCATGAACTATGTTATATCATATTTTTTTATTGATTCAAATTTAATATATTGCAAAAGCCAAATAAAAAAAAATCACTGAATCTCAAAAGTTAGCTCTACGCAAACTGTCAAAGGTCACTGAGTGATCAAATAGTCAACTGTCACAGTCGTTATTGTTACAAATTCAAAAGACTGGCTAAAGATATTTAGAAGATAGGTGGCGATTAGTTTGTTGAAATACCTTAAAATTAGAGAGAATTAGAATTAATTTCATTATTTTCTTATGTTTGGTTCAAGTTTTTAAAAGGGGAATTGGAATTCAATTTCATCAAGGGAAGGAAAAGTAAATTACATCCATAACATGATAAAATTGAAATCCTTTCGAGGAAGAAATGTGAAATTTGACTATATAACCCTCATTAATCGTATGGCATTCGGGTCGGATTTTTTTTAAAAAAAATTGGGATTGGTCGGATTTTTTTATAAAAAAAAAATCGGGTCGGGTCGGGTTTTTTAAGTGTGATATGCGGGTCGGGTTTTTTAAGTGTTATATTTGGGTTGGTTTATGGTGAAAAATACCCGACCCAACTCGAAAAATATATATAATTTTACCTTATATATTTAGGAATAATTACAATAATACCCCTTTATATATAATTTTTTTCAATTAAGTCATTGTTTTTATTGAATAAAAATATTTTTTTATTATTTTGGGTCGGGTCGGTTTCTAATTCATATATTCGGGTCGGGTCGGGTGAAACTTTATTTTGGTTGGATCGGGGCGTGTCTCGGGTGGAGGTTCCCTTGTTCTCGGGTCGGGTCGGGTGGACCAAAAACCCGACCCAACCCATGGTCATTCCTAATTGGGATGATTTTAACTTATACTATTTATTAATATGATTTTTATAATTTATTAAAATGAATAATCAATCAATAAAATGAAATTTTAATATTTTTAAAATTTTTACAATATATTGTTACATGTAAGTTATAAAACAAACTAAATTAACCAAAAAAAGGGCAATTCTGTCATTTTACATTACTGAAATCAAATTCATCTGACATTTTTGCAAACCAAACAAAATATGAAATTGGATTCCAATTCAATTTCCTGCCAACCAAACAGGTTTTAGATTCATATTTCAATTCTTATAGATTCCAATTCCTTCACATATTTCATTTCTCTCATAAACATTCCAGCGAACCAAACGCCACCTTAGGGATTTGAATATTTGAGTTTTAGGGATTTAAGTTTAATAGTTTAGAGGATTGAGACTAGGGGTGTAAACGAGTCGAGTTCGAGTATTGTCAAACTCGACTCGAAAACTCTGAAATTGAGCTCGATTCGACTCGAAAACTCGCGAGCTTAAAATTTTAAAACTCGACTCGAAATCCTGAACTGAAGCTCGTGAGCAGCTCAAAAAGGCTCAAAATGAAGAAAAATAATTCTTAAACTTAACTCGATTGAATCCTCAAACTCGAACCTGAACCTTAAATGCATGAAAATCTTAATGTATTCTCTTTAAAAAAATCAATACATAAATATTAATATTTTTAATAATTTTTTTAAAAAAATATAATCTTATATATTATATTTTCGAGCTGCTCACGAGCTTTTCGAGTCGAGTATCAAGTAGCTCGTTTCGGCTCGTTAAGAATTCAAGTCGAGCTCGAGCTCGAGTCCATTCGATCCGAGTATTTATCGAGTCTTGATCGAGTCAATCTCGAGTAGCTCACGATCTGTCTCGTCTCATTTACAGCCCTAATTAAAACGATGATCAGTCATTAAATAGGTGACGACAATTGGGGTGGTTATTCACCGATGACGACGACTAAGGTATCGACGTAGCGTTAACATGACTTTTGTTTTGAGTTTAGAATTAAGGTTTTAAGTATTTTGATTTTTTAAAAATTTGAGAAAAGTTAGAGTTTTTAAAATATATAATTTAAAAAAATTATTTTAAATAAGTTTTTTTAAATTTTATAAACACTGACGGTTAACCTATTCATTTAACTATTAATTATATTAAACACCTAAATTGATTTAACTACTTTTAAACATCTAAATAAAAAAATTTGTATAACTTAACTACTTTTTTATATTAAGCCTTTCATAAAGTATATATTCTTCAAAAATCGTCGTCACCTTTAAACGGTTTATTTCAACACTATAATCTTTATCGTATTTGTTTAAATAATTTGAAACTTTAATATTTTCCAAATTATATTTATTATGTACCATCCTCATTAATATGGTTAGGGTGGGTAGGATTGTAAAATCGGGTAATCGTTCAGGTTTCAGTCGGATTCTGGTAGGTCGGGTAAAATCGGATACAGGTCAAGTCAGGTAAATTTGACACTAGATCCAGATCGGGTTCAGGTCAGGTCAAATCAGTTCGGGTTATTTTCTGGTTGATTTGACACCAGATCCATATCGGGTTCAGGTCATGTCATTTTCAGTTCAGATCGTTGTCAGTTCAGGTCAAAACAGTTCAGGTCCGAAGCAGTTAAAAAGCATGTTAATTCAGGTTCGGATGGACTTCAAGCAGATCTCGTTCAGATCGGGTCACATCATTGGCAGATAAAATTCAGGTCGGATCTCTATCAGATACGGATTGAGGTCATATCAGGGGTTTTTTTTGGATTAATTATTTTCATCTTTCGCGAACGTTTAATTGCAATTTGTAATTGTATATGATTTAAAGTAAATTACTAAGAATAAAAATAATCATGGTTCAATTTTATGAAAAAAAACAAATTTAAGAATTAAATTTAACAAATATGAAATTACAAATAAAAATTAAATAAATTAAACAACACACATTGATGAGGGATCAAATCGAAATAATTTTAAATTGTGAGGTTGAAATTAATACAAAAAATTACTAAATTATACTCATTTAAAAAGTTATGGGCCAATTAAAAAAATAGAATTAAGTAATAAGTATGGATCAATTTCATATGCAACTAAAATTTGGAGGATTAAATTGAACAAATATGAAATTACAAATAAAAATTTAAATAAATTAAATAACACACATTGATGAGGGATCAAATCGAAATAATTTTAAATTGTGATGTTGAAATTAATACAAATACGTACTAAATTATACACATTTAAAAAGTTATGGATCAATTTAAAAATAGAAATAAGTAATAAGTATGGGTCAATTTCATATGCAAATAAAATTTGGAGGACTAAATTGAATAAATATGAAATTACAAATAAAAATTTAAATATATTAAACAACACAAAAGGGATCAAATCAAAATAATTTTAAATTTTGAGGTTGTAATTAATACAAAAAAGTACTAAATTATACCCATTTAAAAAGTTATGGGCCAATTTAAAAATATAAATAAGTAATAAGTATGGGTCAATTTCAGGTGCAAATAAAATTTGGAGGACTAAATTGAACAAATATGAAATTACAAATAAAATTTTAAATATATTAAACAACACAAAAGGGATCAAATCAAAATAATTTTAAAATTTGAGGTTGAAATTAATAAAAAATGTACTAAATTATACTCATTTAAAAAGTTATTGACCAATTAATAAATAGAAATAAGTAATAAGTTGAGAAAAAAATTAAAACAACTAATATATATATATATATATATATATATATATATATAACTATATAATTTATATAAAGTATATGTATTATATATATAAACTATATAGTTTATATATATTATGTATAAAGTATAAACTATATATACCATGTATAAACTATAATACTATATAGTTTATATATGAACTATTGAACTATATAGAAACTACATAGTTTATATATAAATTATATATGAATTATATATAAACTATACAATTTATATTTATATATTATGTATAATTATAAATAATATATATTGTATAAATTATATAGTTTATTAATATAAACTATATAGTATATATATATATTATATGGTTTAGGGTTTAGGTTTAGGGTTTAGGGATTATATTTATATTTATATAAACTACATACTATAATTTATATTTATATACTATATTTTATA